GGGGGGGGGGGGGAGCGACGCTCCTCCTGCGCATGCGCGGCAGCCGGCGACCGGCTGGGCTGTCCCGTCACTGCGCCGTTATGCAGCGCGGCGGTTCCGGGGCGGGGGTCCCGGGGGCGGGGCTTAGAGGAATGGAGAAAGTCGCCCTGTCATTGGCTGGCGAGCCGGAGTCACGCGCAGGGCGGGCAAGCGCTCCCGTCCACTCTTTTTCCCTCCGCAACCAATCACTGCGGAGGGGAGGCGGTGACTTCCCGCGGGAGGGGCGGGGCGCGGTGACCTTCCCCTCTCGCGATTGGTCAAAGGTTTGCTATGGGAGGCGGGTCCCGTGGCGAGTCGCAGGCTGCGGCGCGTGGCGGCGGCGGCGGTTGGTTGGGCGGGCGTTGAGGGCCGGTGAAGAGCGGGCTCGCGCCGCTGGTGGGGTCACGGGCCGCCCCTCTTGGGCCTGGCGCGGTGCTGGCGGGAGCCATGTCGGAGTGGGGGTCCTACTACCCAGGGGGCAGGAGCGAGGGGCAGGATGAGGAGGAAGAGGAGCAGCAGGAGGAGGGGGCGGAGGCTGTCGGTAAGGGCCCACCGTCCCCTCACGCAGGGCAGCCCGGCGCTCGCTGCCCTCACTAAGACTTGTTTCCCCCCCTCCACCTCGTTCCCTAGCGGACTACAGGTTCTCAGGTCGGGACAGCCTCATTTTCTTAGTCGATGCCACCAAGGCCATGTTTGAGCCCGACGGGGACGGAGTGACGCCCTTTGACATGACCATCCAGGTAAGGCCGCTGGGGAGCCGCTGGGGCCTTCGCGGACCCTTCTCCCTTCGGAGAAGAGAAGGGTGAGAGGAGGCCTTATTAATGCTTATAATATCTAAAGGGTGGTTTGAGGGAGGATGGGGCCGGACTCTTGTCAGTGGTTCCCAGGGACAGGACAAGGGGCACGGGCAGAAGCTGGAACATAGGAAGTTCTACTTAAATATAAGGAAGAACTTCTTTACAGTGAGGGTGAGAGAGCCCTGGAACAGGCTGCTGAGAGAGGTCATGGAGTCCCCTTCTTTGGAGATTTTCAAGACCCACCTGGATGGAGTCCTGAGTAATGTGCTCTTGGCAATCCTACTTTGGCAGGGGAGTGTTGCGACGGAGGGAAGACATGAGCACTCAATATGAGTGACCAGCAAGCTTTGTTTATTTAGACACACTACCATTCTTTTATGCACACTCATAATTAGCTCATACATATTGCAAAATGAGAGCTTATTATTGGTTAGTTCTAAAAAGACAGTTCCGCCTGAAATTCCTTTCTTACAGTTACATGTTTACCTTATCACAGACATTCTGTTGTTGGACCACAGCTGCCTTCAAGGCCAGAAGAACAACTTCAAGGCCTTGCAGTTATTGGGAGCTAGATAAGCTGAATACGGTGCTTATTAAGCTCTTGCTGGGCTAGCTGGCCCACGTCTACGTGACCCTTCTCAGCTAGCCCGTCTCCCACAGGGGAGTTGGACTAGATGATCTCTAGAAGGTCCCTGTCCCTTCCAACGCCAATAATTCCGTGACCCCATGATTCAGGGATCACGTTCACCACCGGGGGGGTAGCCACTGGGTTGTTGCTCTGCCTCATCTGGTGGTGTAAAGCCATTGTGAAATGTGAGCTGCTCACGTTGCTGAATGGCTGTGGGTTTGGAGAGGTCTGTTGCCTGATGGGCCATGCCCAGAGTTCGGGGAGGGATGTGTTTATAGAATGAGTGATCAGTCTGCCTTCAAGGTGATGTATTTAAGCGATCTTTATTTCATCAATTTGGCTCATAGGAAGGGAATGGTAATGAAAAATACCTAAGGCTGTGTACTGAAAAAATCTGCCAAAAAAGTCAAGATCTTAAATTATTTTTCTGTGTGAAATTTAGCTTCAAGCATTTGTAACAGTTCTTCTGTTTGCTAGAGTCTACTTGTATAAACTGCTGATTGCCACAGACAAAACTTTTGCGCCGTTACTGCAACTGATTTTCTTTATATTTTGATCTGTGTGCATTTCTTTTTTTCAGTGCATCCGGAATGTGTATACCAGCAAAATTATTAGTAGTGACAGGGACCTGTTAAGTGTTGTGTTCTATGGTACAGAAAAGAACAAGAACTCGGCAGATTTCAAGCACATTTATGTTCTTCAGACGCTGGATAATCCAGGTAAAGGCAGTAAAGTGATATGAAGGTTATATAGAAAGATGGAGTAAGGAAATCTGTGTAGTAGTGTTGTCAGTAACTAGTCTTTCTGAAAACAGAGAGCTATCAGATAAACAAAAAAATTCCTGTTACTGAGATGCTTGGGGAGGTTAAGTTTAGAAATGTATTGAAAGCTTAGAAACTTAGTGGAAGCTTAGCTTTTTCTCCTATAGTTTGTTCAGATCCCTTGCCAATGTTTTTTTTTCTTTTTCAATGTGGTGGTTTACTTGCTGTCTGCTAAACCTAAAAGGATCTCAGCAGAACTTTTGAAAGCCCATCATATGTCTGCCACACTTCAGAAAAGTGCACGTAAGTGCTAAGGCACCACAGATGCCAGCTGATGGAGAATATCACAGAATGGCTGAGGTTGGGATTTGTGGAGGTCATCTTGTCCAACCCTCCTGCTCAAGCAGGGTCAGCTAGAACAGGTTGTCCAGTATGTTAACTTGTTTTGGGGTATTCCGTCTCTCATTTTCATAATGAATTTTGCAGTTCTTGAATTTAGCTCTTCCATTTTTTCAGAATTTCATAGAATTACCTAGCATCTGCTTGATAACAAGTCCCAGATGCTGAATTGAAGAAGGTAGTAGGAGTGTAAAGAATGCATACTAATAGTGACAAATTCTCTGACAGCTAAGAGTCTTGTCGGGGTGTTTTGTCTACTAGCTTGTAATAGCAGCCTTCGTCTCTGAGGAGGTTTGATTTCATTTTCTTAACTAGGAGGTGCCGGTTTAATAACACATGGGGTTTTCCTGAAAGAACTGTGCCTTGTCCTAGTTTCAAAATTAATTACGATAGGGACCTGACAAGTCTGCCCTAGGTTCTTCCCCCTTTTCTGGCAGCAAGTGCCTTAGGTTTCTTGCTCATTCTTTTTTTGTCCTCCTTCCCTCCTTGCCCTTTTTCCTGCATTAGAGGCAGTAGCTTTGCCATGCTGATAAAGACAGTGCAGGTGAAAACTGGGTGTTGTTAAAAAGGAAAAGAATTTGCTGCCCCTGGCGAGCAGTGTGCTCTGGAGAAGGAAGAAATACTATAGGTAGTTATTAAGTAGTACATAATTATGATCACTTATGTTATTAATTAGGTGACAGCTGAGGATATTAAAGTAAAATAGTAAATAGCAGGGGAAAAGACATTTTCAGATGAGATTTCAAAAACACTATAGAATTTGAGTGAAGGGCAGAGAAAGAATCTCTGCAGAATGCAGTAGTTGAAAAAAGAAAGCTTATCTCCTTTTGTAGAGTTATGGGAGAGAGAACCCACTCTTGGGTGGGAAAAGGAGTCATAGTTGGGCTGGAATAATCTGCAGAGCTTTAAAAAGGCAGTCAACACCTGCCCTGAATGTTGCTGTGCTCCATGTGCTGCTCTATGGGCTGCATCTGACCTCTAGGTTGATTCTATCTGACATTCTGACATGAGAGGCAAGGGAGTGGGAGGAATTCTCCGCCTTCCTAATGTGCTCTTGAGATGCAGGATATATTTTAGTCTCTGCTTTCTCTCGTGGTGGAGCAGTCTGCCGTGCCTCTGCAGTGGGTGCAATTGCTGCCTTTTCTGCTGAGCGCTTCACCTTTCAGGGTAGAGGGTTTGCGATACTTTGATCCCACCTGTTTCCCTCCCCCAAAAGGAAGAGCCCTGCATTGGTGCCAGGGCACTTTGTGTCCTATTGGCCCTAGTAGGTACTTTGAAGTGGTAACCAGCTTGCAATACTGCAAGTGCTAAGCTATGTTGAACAATTTTCTCAGCCAGGTGTGGGAAGGGCACGGCCACAGAGACATTAGGAGACATTGCTGAGACATGAGCTGTAATGGACCTTCGGTGTGTATTTAAAAGAGTTTGTGGTACTTCTTTCGGTATTTCCAATGCATGTGAATGCTGTTATTCCCTTCAGGTGCAAAGCGTGTTTTAGAGCTGGACCAATACAGGGGAGATGAAGGACGAGCACATTTCCGTGAGACCTTTGGCCACAATGCTGACTACTCGCTGGGTGAAGCGCTCTGGGCCTGCTCTAATCTCTTCAGTGATGTCCGAATCAGACTGAGCCACAAAAGGATCATGCTCTTCACCAACGAGGATGACCCTCATGCCAATGACAGCGCTAAAGCCAAGCTGGCCAGGACCAGAGCTGGTGATCTGAGAGACACAGGTCATTATTTTCCCCTTTAATTTCAGGCAGAATAAAAGTAATGTGTCCTCACAGTGGATGTTAACTGCATTGCAAGTTTGTGATGAAAAAAGAATGTAAAATCATCAGAACTGGGGAATCTTTCTGAAGCTTTCAAAATCACAAATTTGGTATCTAATCTAAATTAGAAAATATGTTAACCAGTCCGGTACCCAACAACTAACACTTATGTTCTAGGAATTCTTTTTCTACTCTAATAGCATAAATCAGGACTTGAGAGGTCCATGGAAAACTAACTCTACTTTATTTCATTGTTCCACCATTTTCCAGGAAGGGAATAGTAACACTAAGTTAACACAAAAGAAAAATTACTTTAATGGGTCCATTTTGAATTAAGTGAAGAACAGCAAGCTGAGCTCAGAGACCAGAGAGCAAATGCTTCATTAATTCAGCTGTGTAGCTGAGATAACCAATGTTTTTGGAGTTTACCAGATGTGCTAGA